GTTATCAGCCAGGCTTGACATCTCAACTTTCAATAGAACTAGGGTGCATACTCTTCTATGGAGGTTAAATCTGGCACCCCAGTTTGAGAAAAGGTATCCAAATGTAATCAGAGACCACCCTGCTCATGTTTTAGGAGTTCCACATGAAGACCCAGATGCATAACTGAAGCATATGTGCAGAAGGCTTAGGTCTATCCCATGCATGTTCTCATGTTTCTTGTTCTCTTGTTCAGTTGCTATGAGCCACTGTGGATCAAGGGTAATTGATTGTTTTTAAGGTTCCTCATGGTTTTGCTGACCCACTGGCTTCTTTAATCCTTTATTCCCTACTTCTATATAATTCTCAAGCTTCACCTAATGTTTAGCTGTGACTGTCTGCATCAGTTCCCATCAGGTACTGTATGGTAACCTCCTGACTACAGTTATGTTAAGCCCCTGTTTGCAAGTAGTAGAATATCTGTAATAGTGTCAGGAGTGGGTTCCCTCTCATGACATGAGTTTCAAGGTAACCCAGCCATTTGTTAGCCATTCCCACAAATTATGATACATCTGTTGCACTTGTACATCTTGTGGCAAAGATGAATTTTTGTGGCTGCATTGGTCTACCAATCCCTCTATTGAAAATCTGGCCTAGTTATAGGAGATAGACAATTCAGGCTTCATATCCCTCATTTGGAGTCATAGCTAGGATAACCTTAGATAGATTCCGAGGAGTTTTTATTGTACTAGGTTTCTAGTTTAACCTAGAAATGCCCCGAACATTCCAATTTTCTCTTGTAGTACTCTCTTCCTCCATCCTCCCATGACTTCATCCCTCCAGTTCCCATCCACAGCCCCTCCCTTGCCTAGTCCTCTTACTCCATTCACCCTAGATGTCTAATCTATTACTCCTTCACAGTGAGATTTAAACACCCTGCTGTAGGCCTTCCTTGGTACTTAGTTTCTTGGTTCTGTGGTTTGTAACACAGATATCCTGTCCATTATGATCTGGTGTCAACTTATAAGTGAGCACATGCCATGTTTGTCTTTCTGGGTCTGGGTTATCTCACTTTTCTGTTTGTATTTATTATTGCTTTGTTTCTATTAAAAGAAAGAGAAATAAAGGGTATAGCGTGTGAGGTTGAGTCGGGGATCAGGCAGGAGAAATGAGGTGGAGAAAGAAAAGTACATTATCAGATTATATTTTATGGGAATTATTTTCCATAAAGTTAACAACAATAACAACAACCCAAATTTCCCAAATTGACATTTCCTCAAAGCTATGTGTTTGTCCCTTTAAACTGGGGATAAAGACACAAGAATCTCAGAAATATAAATGAAACTGTTGAAAAAAATCTATTTTCACAGTAAGTTTTCTTAAAAAAATATAGAGCAGAATACTTAAACTATAACTTTCTCTATAACTATAAATATAGTTTAAACTATACCTTTTACAACATTAGATGTCGTGCGCTGTTATTCATTATGAAACCCACAGTAGGACTGTTAAGATTTCTAATCATGAGTAATTGATTTAGTTTCAAAATACTAATATATAACAGAATATTATATTAAATTTTTATTTTTTTTCAAATTTTTAATATAATTCAAACATAAAAAGACTCATTGAAAGAAAACTGAAGAAATAGCTCAATAGGTAAAGTGTTTTCTATGCAGTCATGAAGAACCTGAATTTAGATCCCTAGTACTCACATAAACCCTGACATAGCATCTTGAATTTGTAACACCAAGACATGCTGGACAGAGATGAGCAAGTCTTAACAATTCACTGCCCAACTATTGTACCTAGTGCTACTAGGTGTCAGTTAAGTATGAGACTATGATGTAAATAAAACAAAAACAAAAACAAAAACTGATGCACTGTCTTCTAGACATAACAGAGCCAATTAAACTCATGAGTTTCTATATTTATGAGCTCACTACAGCCCCCAGGGATTGCCTTTACAATGTCCACCCAGACAACATTCTAGTATACATAGCAAAAGTGTACAGGATCTCCACCTCTGTTTTATGAGATATGGACTTTTGATGACTTCTGGAAGAGATATAGTTTGTTATTTTTTAAGTGTATGGCCCCTGGTGTATAGACTATACTATAAAGGATGGCTTCATATTCAATAATGTAGGAGAAAAACAGATTGGACACAATATGCTATAAAAAGTATAAAAAAATACAGTAATTGATCCATAGATGTGATGTGTATTGGGAATTTAGAAAAAATATGGGTCAATATAATCAAACTTCTATTTATGACATTATCATAAATATAATAATATTTTAAGCAAGCTGGAGAGCAATAAATGATCACACCTAATACTAATAATTCACACATACACAGGCATGATCCTATGTAACCAAATACATATATATTATGCAAGGATGTACAAATAACAAACAAAAAGGAATATCTACAATTAGAATATTTTCTTCTTGTAGTAAGTTCAAAACTTCTTTGATATGATTTATTCAAAGGCTATTTAAGTTCTAGCTGAATTGAAAATTCCACCAGAGTAAACTAGAAATACATTTGTATATTATATAATTTTAGGTTATCATCATGAATAAATGGTAATCAGTGTTTGCAGCTTCTCAAACACTGATTTCTTCTCAAATTTCTTCTCAAATATAAGGGAACACACACAAAATTTGTAATGTTAAAAAATCTACATTAAACTATAATATATTATAAAATTAGAATAATTTCAAAATATACTTATAAGTTCTTTAACTTTTTTTGAGAAATATCCATTGCCTTAATGATCTAGGCTAGAGGTACAGAAATTACAAAATATATTTAATGAAGAGATGTAGAAAATTCATTTTGAAACTGATATCATAATTTCTCATTCACCTCACAAAATCTACTCTCTAAAAGGCAGGCCTTTCGAATACTAGTTCATATTTCTCATTTTAAGTTCTAGCTGAATTGAAAAATCACAAGAGCTCTTGTATTTCACTGGCCACTTCCTTTTTTGACCTTCCACACAAGAGTGACTTGATTAAAGGTCTGTCTATGCAGTCCTCCCATCTTATGTTTCCTAGCCTTCGAAACAATAAGCCAAATAAATCACTGTCCTTTCTGTAATCTAGGGCTGAAAAGATGTCTAAGAGGTTAAACATATTCAAGGACTAGTTTGAAGACCTAAGTAATAAAAGAACTTTGCCCCCCTCCCAAGTTGTCCAATAACTTTCCCATGTGTGTTGTAGTATACACAGAAAATACATATACATGGGTAATAAACAAACAAACAAAATATCTAGTTTGCCACAATCTGTTATAGAAGCACACACAGGACTAAGGTTGTTTTTACAGAATATGACATTTAAGAATTGACACATTCCACAAGTAACTTCCGGAAATGTGTTTATGTAGTTTATCACTTGGTTAGGATCATGGGGAAATTGTATTCAGTCCATGCAGCTTTTTCTCAATACAGAGAAACAAACAGAAGTTGCAAGATAAGCTTGAATGTTATTCTTTCTCTTTGGCAATTTTTTTCATTTCATTTTTCATTTTTTTTTCATTTCATTCTCAGTTTCATTTTAGTTTGCTTTCATTTAGTAAAACGTAAAATATCATATGAAAGAGAGATGTAAAACATAAAGAGACAAAAAGAACAAGCAGGTAAGTCTAGAGAAGTACTCAGAAGGCAGACTTTCCTTTCATATATAGAGTTCTATCCATTTAGCTAAGTACTAACCATGTCATTTGCCAGGTATATTTATTTTATTACACAAAAACATTTTGTCAGGAGTGAAGAAAGTAAAGCCCACAGTCAGGCTGCTTCCAGGTCTAGCTGTCTTAATTTCTTTGGATACTTCTACTGAAAAAGTATAAACTGAGAATGAGCTTCTGTAATCTGTGCAAACTTATACTTGCTTATTTCAATAATTAATAATATTAGTTATGTTGTATATATGTCATCTATGATGTATTTATCATAAAATAAAGTAATTTATTTTTACCTAACATAACACTGATGGTTTTCTGAATTTTATATATTTAGTAACATTCTTTTAAAATTCCAGTATTAATGCGATATAATCTTCATGAAAATGATGGAAGATAATCCATGTAAGAAATTTTTTGAGCAATATATTAATTAATGCTTCTTTGGAAGAAAATAATGCTGGTTTGTACAGACATAAAGAATTTGTTGTAGGTTACATTTTTGTATATATATTTGTGACTGATAATAACTACAAGATGGCTTCAATTGTAATAATTTCAGTTTCATTAAATCGAGTTATATATGCATTGAATTTGTTTTATATCATACTATTATTGTTAATAAAATCATATATTTTATTTGAATTCAGTCATTTCAATGATTTTATCCTTTTTATATTTCATTATATCTTCTTGTCATATGGCTTTGCAAATGAGTTATTACTTCTGTGAAGTATAATCTATGTTTTCAGTATCATTTTTTTCTTAAAATGAGAAATATGAACTAGTATTCAGGATTTTTTGTTTGTTTGTTTGTTTGTTTTGTTTGAAATTCATTGCTGAAGACAGAAAGAACCTAGACATTGTGTAAATAAGAGAAGTATAACAATTATAGAAAAAAAGAATTTTTGAAGTGTCCATGTATTGATAGAATAAAGTATGGAATGAAATGCTAATGATAGATTTCAAAATTTAAAACATAATTGTGGGAAGGAAGACCTGAGAATATAGCTGATTGTTAGTGTACATCTATCATGCATAGTTTTAAGTTCATTTTCCAGTACTACAGGAAAGAATAGATTAGAAGGAAAATAATTAATATTTGAGGATATGAAATTTAGATATCAAACTGATTACTATACTTCTAATAATAATACATAATAAATATTCAACAAAATTAGATAACATTTCTAGAATTAATACATAGTTAGCAAAAGTAATTGCATTAAATATTTAAAGTAACTTGCTAAAACAAGCGGATATAATATTATATATAACTTGGGTAAATTATGAAATCTGTTTTGAAATCAATCAAGAATAAAAATATGCTCTGCTCTTAGAGGCACTGCACATGTGGTTGCTATGTCACATGTGCATCGGTAGGTGGCAGAGAGGAAAGCAGCTATGTCTATGCTTAATGTTCTAACCTATTAACATCTGAGTAACCAATTTAACATTCTCTGAAAATATTGATCCTTAGACAATCACCAGTGTGGTACCAAGCAGGCCCAGATGGGGTTCCAAGATGATGAGAAAGCAGGAGACTAGAACAAACATGCATGGGATCTAATATTAGGGCCTCAGTCAAGAATGAGGCAGACAACACTGACAAAAGGCCACTTGGGTAGGCTGGGCAAGGTGTAAGCCCAAGATGACTACCACACTGGAGCCTGGACAGAAAGTTAGCCTGAGATGACCACCAGTCTCGTTCTGTGCAAGCCTTGGAGGCAGAGCATGCTCAAGATGATACATGTTCACCTCCACAATATATCAGCTTGATGTAGTACTCCTAATATCACTCCTGAGATGACACTAGATACTCAGAGACTCCAGGCACTACTAAGAGGAGCAAGTAAGTGGTGGATAAATGGAAGAGAGGAGAAATAGAAGGATGTGGGCACAATGAAGAGAGGCAGAACTGGAGATTCAAAAGCAGTGAGGAATTGTCTGCTCTAAGTGGTCAATGGTGCAATCTGGGGGCATGGTGGGATTATGCAGCCACCGCGGTCTGCATCTAGGTCCCTGGCACTGCATCAGCAGGAGTCTGTTACCTACCAAAGGCCAGGCAGGTATACTTGGTCTGGCCTGCCCTCTGGGGACATATTAATGTCAGAGGTCTATGCAGAACTGTCTTATACCCTACACCTGGTTGTGGTTGAGTAGCTGACCCCAGAGATATGGAAGCAGGAGCACTAACCCCACATCTAACTTTAGGACACATGAGAACAAACCATGTACACGGCAGGAGTTGCAGGTAAGCCAACTCTGAGGATATAAATATGGGAGAGCTGGCCCTACTACATGTCTCCCATGAGGCAGCATGGACGTGGGAGATATACCCTCCTCCCTCCTTTCTTCTTATCACCTGTGGCATGTAGAACACCTTTGCCTGTGGTCATGAAGAATTGGCCTTGCTCTTCACTACCTGCTGCACTCAGGAGTCAAGGCCCTGACCCTCACCTAAGCAGCACAGTACAGCTGATTTTGGTGGCAGGGGTACAAGCACACAAGCCCCAAGGATGTAAGCATAGGAAAGCTGTTCCCTCCATTTGTCTGCTGTGCAGTGACATGGGTGTATGAGAGATGCTCCCCTGCCCCCCACCACCTATGGCAGGCATGAGATCTGGCCCTCAAGTCATCAGAGCCAGAAACTTCTCTCTGTCCCTCTTTTGCTGCAGTACTCAGGAGAGAAGGCTCTGCCCCTGACCTGGGCAGCATAGCAGGCTCTACTATTCCTGTATGTCCGGGTTGTGAGTAAGCTGGCCCAAGGCCTTGAGTGTGAGAAAGCAGTCTCTACCTCCTGTATGCTATCCAGCTGCATCATTAAAGAAGAGATTCCCTCTCTTCCTTTCTGCCCTCATCAGTGTGTGGGTGGGGGACTGGTTCTGATAGGGTCATGAGAGTAGGAGCGCAGTCTCTGCCCTTCATCTGCTACAACACATAGGAGAACAGGTTCTATACCATATCTTGGCAACACAGTAGAGCTGAGTCTGGGTATGTGTATATGTGCAGGTGAGCCTGCCTTGAGGGTGTGATCATGAGTGTGGGAAATTTGGCCCCACAATTTGTCTGCCATGTGGCAGAGTGTGCATGGGAGAGATGTCCTTCCCCACCTTGAGCCCTTGACACCTACTGCAGTCAGGATAGCTGGCCCTAACCCTCACCTGCTACAGCAGTTAGAAGAACAGACCTGCATGGGCAGCACAATAGAGCTGACTCTAGATGTGAAGATTGTCAGTGAGCTTCCCAAAAGTATGAGCCCAGGAGAACCTTCCCTGCCTCTTCTGGACAGCGATGCAGATGAGGGAGATATCCCTTCCTTCCCCGTCCCTTTCATTCTATAGCAGGCCAGGAGCTGGCTAAGGAGGCTCATGGAATGAGAGAACTTGTCATGGCCCTCACTATCTACAACAGTCAGGAAAAGAGAGCCCTAGACCTTGCCTGGGCCGCAGGGTAGTGATGGCTGGCCCTGGTTGTGGGGGTTGATGGTGAACCAGCTCTAAGGATGTGAGAATGGGAGAGCTGGTAGGCTGACAAGCTCAGATATCTCTCAGACTCAGATTCAGGACTATTAATTAGCCTATCCCAACATCTACCCCATCTATGAGCTGCAGAAATGTATGAAGGGGCTGTTCCTGAATATTCAAAACTGCAGGATCTCCATGACACTGTGAAGCAAACAAACACACAGACAAACACTAGAATATCTGAGAACTCCTAGCAAATTTCTAGTATGTATAGCGTAGCAGAAGCCAGAGGCCTTGTACAAGACCAATAAGTCATTGCAATTAACATTTGCAAACAAAGAAGTGTGGACAGAAGGGTTTACTGTGGGCCACACCGTGACACACTACAGCTTTCCACAATGAGATTATTTTTTCTCTGTTGGAGAAAAGATTGCAAGGGTGTAGGACAGGTATAAGGAGAGGGAGAGATGATGGGATTGGGGTATATGATATGACCAAAAATTAAAAAATTGAAAAGTTCAGTATATTTTCTGAAAAGTATTCTAAAATATGCTTTCCTGGGACAATAAATAAAAGGAATTTTAAAAAATTCTATAAGAAAGTAAAATAAGACACAAATAATTTGTGTGCCTCATCTAAGTTTTAAATTATTAACATTTATCAGTGATTTTATATAAAATAAATACTATATAATGTTCCCCCATTATATTATCTTTTATGTTTCAAATCAAGTAAAAGTTTTCATAAGAAATCATTGGCAAAAATGTACAATTTTAGATCTGGAAAGAGAAAAAGAGAATATCCAGTGTCATTGAAACCAGTTTGAGCAGAATTTCAAAATGAAAGGTAGTATTGATTCTTCATGCCCAAGGTTAGCTTGTCAATGATGATGGAACACTAGTCTGGGTCAAGATGAAGGTTTCTGGTGGATAAAAAGGAAGAAAAACCTCAAGAGAATTAAAATGACAGGGAATCCAAGAAAGACATACTGGAAATGATCGAAGAAAAATATAGCTTAATGTTTGAGCAATCAGTATAGCTCACAAGTTATTTGCAGTATATAGAAACTAGTGAAACACATAAGCAAGTAGGGATATGTCATTAATCCAATGCTACTGCTCTGTGTGTGTTTGCTCTTGTAAAGTGTTCCCTGGTATCTGACAAGTTCTTCATGACTTAACACACCATCTGCTTTGCTCAAAGGTGGCTCAGAGGTGATTATTCTTAAGCACATTTAAAAAATAAAATATTCAACAAAATTAAGAAAGATGATATTAATATGTCCACTAACCTAAATCCAATTTTTAAGTATTCATGTGGGAGTCACTGAAGAGTAAGTAAAAATTACAGCTGAATAGTGACCCTGAAATATAGAGGACACAATGTATCATTTCGCTTTAAACAGTAGTCCCTAAGAGTTACTGGAACTATGAAAAAATACATCCACATATATAAGAGCAGAAACCAAACAAAGGAATGCTGTTTTTGCAGCAAATAGTCTTTTATAATTTTATTATATGCAGAAAACTGCTTCTTAATTTTAGTCTGCATACATCTAAAACTACAGCTTCATGCAAAATGATTTCAATATATCTATATTCATGACTTTATTACTCCCAAAAGAATGTCTTACTTATTAATATATCTTCTTATTTTACAGAAGTTTTTGTCTTTCTTTATGTGTGTGCATGTACAGGTACCAATGAAGGCCTGAAGAATTTTGAAGACATGCTGGAGATAAACGTTATAGGCAGTTGTGACCTGCCTGGAATGGGTCAGGAATGGAGCTCAGGTCTTTTGGAATTGCAGCAAGTACTCTCAGTCACTGGTTTATACTTTACCTCTAATGTAATTAATTACCTACAAATATATGGTACCTATGCTTAAACAGTTCCATGAACTGCTTTGTTTGAGTTAAACAACATTTTTTACCAGTTGCAAACTTTATCAATAGTTATGATAGTTGAGTAATTTCAGCAAGTCATCAATTGAGCACAAATAGGATTCTAGAGGTAGTCTGGGTCAAATATTTAATAGTGGGTACTTAACAGAACCTGAAGTATGTGTCCTGGAATTTAAAGCTGGGAAACAAATCTTTCAGTCACCTTGAAGAGGAAATAGAAGATGTCCCTGTAACTGGAGCCTCAGAGGGCTTTGTACGGGTCTATGGTTCTATTACAGCCAGAGGCCCTGTTTGTGTTCTCTGTTGTTGCCAGAAAGCATAAGTAAGCCCATCACCTGAGCTCCATCTGATTGTAAAGGGTAAGGGAACTACTTTTACAGGGATATCGTTGACTGCAGACTCAGCACTTGAGAAAGAGGGACATGGAAAGTTTCTGTGATAACCCCACTGCCCCGACATCCAAAAGAATTAACCAAAAAAGAAAGCCATAGAGAGAAGTCTCAAAAATTGTGATAGTGATCCTGAAATGTATCTCTTCACAATTTTTGGCTTCTGGCTGTAGTAAACCAATAAAATAAAATAGGATAAAATAAAATGGAAAAAAGAAAAGGAGATGAAAAACCATAAAACAAACAAACACACATACATATAAAAATACCTGATGGATATGAACATTTTCATGTGTGTATTCTTCAGATTGAAGATTCGGATTGAAGACTAGAATATCAAGTTAATGAGTTTTTGTCATTATATGATATGTACCCACATTTCACGCCCAATTACAGCACCATTTGCTTATATGTGTATAGAAATCTTAGCAAATGAGACAAATATTATGTCTGATTTTTGCATAAACTCAAAATTTATTTAAACACTTATCTCCACCATTTTCAGCCACAAACCATCATGTCCTTTTCTAAGGAAAAAAAAAATCCAAACTATTCATCTTATAGGCATTGTGCAGTGGTAGTCTAAGTACGGGATACCTACTATGCATAGTTTCACCCAGTAGAGAGAACAAGAGACACAAACTTCATAGTGAACAAAACGTTTCAGCATCGCAATAAATACATTCCATTTCCTAGGTT